ACTCCAAGTCAGTGTTGTCGTTCTGTTCGCTGAAGCGCGGAGTCCTCGACTGTCCGCCCAAGCAGGTAGAGGCTTTTGCATGAGAGCCGAAGAATATCTCAGCTCAGAACTTGGGAGGCCACGGCACAAGGCGCAAGGCGCCAGGCGCAAAGAGGTGTCGCGCTTCATTGATGTGGCGCGTCGTGCGAAGTGGACGAATTGCTGGAGAACAAAAGGCCAACTCCAAATGTTTGCTGGCACTCTGCGATGCCTCCGAGTGGACACGTAGACTGCGCTCTCTTTCGCCAGCCTTCATGCGCAGCACTTGCAGCCGTCTATGCAAGTTCCCACCGGAAAGGACAACAGGATTTGTTCAAGCTGCCAACGCTTTCCAAGCCATCACGTTTTGCATCTGGCTCTAGTGAGTGCCGGGCAGTTTGTGATGGACGTTTCAAGCAGTGCTGCTGTCAACGAGGCCATGCAGGGTGCTTCTGGGAGTAGGCTTAGGGTGTTTTAGGATACACTTGAATGCGTTTGTCTGCAACAACTGTGCCCACCTGGCATCTTCTGATCAAGCATGCTGGAGCTGAATTTGCCCAAGCCATGTCTGCAGAATCCGCAGGAGGAGACGAGGAAGCTGCTGGAAGCCAAGCTTCAGTAGACCTGGAGCAACACTTGAGCAGAGATTCAGAGCAAAGGGCGGAGACCGTCGGTTGGAATGGCTTTTTGGTGTTGCATTTTCAAGCAACTTTCACGGTGATGTCGGCCAACAATTTTCAAAGCTATGTGTGAGTATGTGCCACTCATTATATACTCCAGACAAACCTGTACCCCAAACTCGTGGCGCTTGAGCGAAGTGGTGGCGTAAGCCAGGGATCATATCAGTGATCAACTCCCCACTCTCCCTAAGCGCGGGTAAGGCATGTTCAACTCAATCAGGTGCAGCAACTTTGTCTACAAGGGGCGCTGCGGCTACGCCTGTTGCCGCTTCGTGCATGACGAGTCGGCCAGGCCATGCATGGTGCCCCAGGACTGCAGGAATGCTATTGCGGACCTTACTGCACGGTTATACTGTTGTACCGGGATTCTACTATACGATTATACGATGCCACTATACTAATATCCCAGCCTACTATGCTATCATAGTACCATTTTGTTGTACTGCTAGGTTACTATACTGTTATATTACAGGGATATATGAGGAGTATTGGAAGATTCAGGGACTGCGGGGTTTTGTGCTGTAAGCTGTCTAGGCTCGCAGAATGTGGCGCATGTCTTTTGCTGGGCCCCCACCACTAATTACTAATGAACACAAGGGATAATTGTAGTTGTATTAGGTTCCCTAAAGATTCCTTTTGTACCACTGTTGCTGGGTGGGGGCCTGGCCGTACGCATATCCGTCAAACTTGTCAGGCAAGGAGCTTCGGCAGAAAGGACGCCGACGCAGCCTCGGTTATTCGCAAATTCATGCGGTTTGAAGTTCAGAGTTTAGAGTAATGAATTCAGGCATGAGGTGGGGGTATGGGTGTAGGGTCTAGGGTTATGATTTCAGGTTTAGGCTCAGGTAATTAGATTGCGGAGCGTGAGGACATGTAAGGATTACCAGGAAATTATGGGAGTCTCCCTTAGACCGACTTAGACCCCCTTTTCGAAGGTACGCGTAGCTCTGCTGGTATGCTAGCAGTACACTCCCTTGGTACAAGATTTCCTTAGCCTTGGATGCAACCCAACAGGAGAAGATGACTTGCAATAGGTAGTTTGAAGATAGGCTTGTGGCCAAATCAGAGCAATCGTGCTTGCCGATAAATGGGATCCTTCAACGAAGAAGCTCCTACAAGAGACCGCAACTTGACACATGGATGGGTTCCGATTTGAGCTTCTCTGTCTCTGCTAGGTTAGCAGCAAGAATGCCCTGAATATCCCGGGACCCGTCAGGGTACCCCAACTGTGCACCGCCTAAGGCTGCTGACTGGTTGCACTTCTTCGGATCTACGGTACTTCGGGTGATGCAAGATTCCGATCATCAGCAGGGATACGCCTTGCAGGACTCTATTCCCAACCCTAGATTCCAAACCCCAAACTCTAAAGTTCTGCGCCAAACCCAAGCCCCAAAGTAGTCCCCAAACCTTAAAACAAAAACCGAAACCCAAAGCCTAATCCCAACCCCTAAATAAATGCCTAAGCCCTAAACCCCAAACCAGCATGCTGAGTGAGGCCCCAGAAGCAGCCTTCCAGATCCTCATTAAGCTCCTCAATGTGGCGCCACCGCGTTTTTTGTGGGGCCCCAACGGACCGGGGTTTCGGGTGTGGGGCTTTGGCTTCTAGACTCGTTTAGATCCTACTCTGAGAGTATAAGGTCGGCTAGTGGCCGGGTTCCAAAGAGGTGAGTTTCCTTTGGGTCCCTGAATTGTTTCATGTCTACATGGGCGCTTGGGGGACCCCAATATAGACCCGCAAATACAATAATCCTTCTTATTGGGACCTCCCAAAAGTACTCCTAAATTAGCAGAGTTTGCGTAGGGGTCCTACGGAGATCGCAGAGCTGCAGAAGATCGATCCCTACCGGGTCTTTGTTCAGGGACTTCAGTTAATGCTATCATATTATGAGCATATAGTAAGTAAGAGGATTTCCTAAAAATAGTAGCTTAATTTAAGTTCCTCAACAGCAACCCAGTCTGTGGGCGTTTGTAGACGGAGCTCTGACTACCACCTTCACAGTTCATGTGCTTGGTAAGGCAAGCAGTTCAAAGCTGAGGCACTTGAGTATACATCAAAGCATAACTGTAAATCTCTTCCCTTTTTATATAAGGGAACCTTTGCATAAATCACTTGGGGGCTTAAAGTACCACCCAGATACCTAAACCCTAGATGACAAATGGGTTGCAACTGCCAGGCCTTCGGATGTTCCACCAGCTGCCAAGGCTCAAGCGATCCTTGTAAGAGATGATGTACTGGTATACGGCGCCCCCAGAAGTTAGGGGTCAGTTTTTGGGGTCCCAGTACTACAAATCACAGGGGTTTTGGAAACTCTCTCAACAGGAGAATAGCAATAGAAGAGATTGCAGCCATATATGCGTAGCAGGAATTACAGACACGGGATACACAGATATCGGATAAGATGGTAGCGAGGCTGGGAGAGCAGCAGCATCAGATGATGGGTCTAATTGCTAAACATGAAAGGCTGAGCACGATGATGGATGCTGAATCAATGTAGATGGTGACTGTTTTGATCCAAGCTACTGCTAGATCATATAAAGCTGCTGCTTCTATCACTGTTACTGCATTTAACACTGCTGTTGTTGTTGTTGTTGTT